ATGGCAGCAGAGGCATTTTGAAGTTTAAGGCGTTCATTGTGCTGCACTAAGTCACCCCAGTGTAGTTGTCCATTGTCCCTTCTGAAAGTGATAATAAAAGTCAGGACTATGGAAGATCATGCAATGGCTATGTACATCGATACCCTAGCTCTATCATCTTCCATCTAAGAGACTGTGGGTGCTTGATTTGGCTTCTCTGTGCTTCCCTTCCATCTATAACATGAAGACATAGATCTTCATCATACTTGTGATGGTTCATTTCATGTGGTCAGCTGGACCACATGGTGCCTAGATAGTTGGCCAAATGTGTATTTCATTCTGAGAGAGAGTTTTTAGATGATGCTGATATTTCAACTGTTAGGTCAAAGAAAGCAAAGTACCCTCCATAATATGGGTGAGCCCTGTGCAAACAGCAGAAATCCTAAGTAGAAAAATATCCTGACTATTCCCTGAGAAAGAACATAATTCCCCATGGCAACCTTCAGGCTAGGACATTGTTTCTTTCTGATCCTAAAGCAGCCTATGGACCTTTGGATTCCAGCTGAGAATCAGCTCTGCATACCTTGCCATCCTTCATAAGGACATAACACACGTCCTTATTGGTTCTCTTTCTTTGTAAAACCATAGCTGATATAACACCTGTCTCAAGAGTTTGCACTAAGGTTATCTAAGCTGAAGTTGGGTGTGGTAGCTTGCAACTATAATCTCAGCATCGGAGAGGTTGAAAGGGGGGAATTGAGGATCTGAAGTCAACCTGTACTACATAGTCTCTCCCTACCTTCCCGGACAGGAAGTCTTCACCTGAGCCTGGCCTTTCTGTAAAAACCAAACTATCACACCAGACAGGGCTCACATCTACCCTGCCCCTTACCTGAGATTCTCTGGCCACACCAGAGAAGTCTCTTGCCTGACACTTCCTTGTGTCTTCATGTTACTTGAGTAGTCAACTTTAATTTAAACCTGATGTCTTTCCAGAACTGCTTCACTATCTCCTTAGGAACCAAGGCCCTTCTGTCTTCTACATTTCCCACCACCTAATGCCGTCCTGAGTCTGCTCCAGGTGAGTCACTGAGGGCACAGTTATAAACTAAAGATACAGACTGTGGCATGGACTACAGTACCAGGATAAGCATAGTAAGTGGAGATCCAAGGGGTTGAACCACATGCATCTGTCTCTCCCTATAGATGGGAGGTTGGTTCAAAGACAGCACAAAAATCTGCAGCTGCCATAAAAGTAGTTGTGACTAAAATAATACATCCTTCTGTATAGTTTAGATCATCTGTAGATGGCCTACAGAACCTAACGCAAGGTAAACAGTTGTAGTGTATTGTTTGGGAGATCATGACAAGAAAAACCTCTACATATTCGTTTTTGTTCCTGAATATTTTCAGCCTTCGGTTCATTGCCTCTGTAAATGGAGCAAAGCTCTTTGGACTCAGAGCATCTACGTGATCTCAAGTCTTAAAGTTTCCCTTCATCAGGGTCCTAAACTAAAGAGGCTTGGGCTACCATTCTGCAGGTCAAAGGGCTAATCGCAGAGAAGATCAGAGAGAGTGCCCGTTTCATGAAAACTGACTCTGTTCGAGCAGCTCTTTAGCACATGGGCTCTCATGGGCAGGGAGTGGAAGTCTGCCCCACACAGCCCTTGCTGGTGATAGACAGAAGGAGCCTCTGCACTTGGAGATGCCCGGCTCTGCTGTTAGGTGAGCTATTAGCATCTCCAAGTCTGAAATGTGAACTTCAGGTTAAGGCAGCACAAGCAGCTGAGGTTGAGCCGCATCACCTCTCTGGTCCTCTATTCTCACCATGGTTAACAGATTGGAATGAAGAGTCGGTGTAGTTGGGGATGGACCTTCAAACATATCCTCCTTCCCTTCTTGTTCTTGATAAATGGGCACAGAGGTGATTTTATTTTTCAATCCAAGGCATTCTTAGAACTGTCTTGAAGCTCTAGGTGGGCTAGGTGACATCTAAGATTCCTGCTGGATATCACGCCCAGGCTTGCTGGGTCTTTCATCCTCATCCAAAGACCCAGGTGTTTTTGACTGGGGAGGCACAGCGAGGAAAGTTACTAGACAAAGGATGAGTCTTCAAAAAAAAAAAAAAGCTTGTGTTTGAAAGATAACAACATCAAAAAAAGCCCTTTCTCATTAGCCATCATTTCTGGCCTTCTAGAACAATCCAGTGCTCATCTCTGACTCACTGACCCTGCCACATGTGTCCCCTTGATTTGTCATCCATTCACCCCTGGCCCTCCTGTACCCAGAAGAATGACAATGGAGACGTTGCCTCTCAAAATCTGTATTTCCTCATGGACTTGACATCCCTTCTTTTGTATTTTACCCCTAACATTGCCCTCATATTTGTCTGAATCAAGCCTCTTGTCACTGAATCCTTGTCCTTGACAGAGGTGACCTCCGAAAGAACCATCTCACTGATGTCCCTCTGCTTCTATGTCACTGAGGAAACCAGAGCGGGAAAGTGTTTATTAAAATCAGTGAAGTCTAACAAAGGGGTGGAGATGAAGGGAGCGTCTAAATTTCAGCATTTTCCCCACAGACAAAGTGGAAAAACCCAGGCCTTCCTGCCTGGATGTCATCAGATCTTGACCTCCCAAGAGCAAGAAATCAGTGGAAAAGTATATATATTTTTTTAATATGCCCTCATTAAAAATAAAAATGGTTTTCCATCAATACATAGGTTGTTTGAAATGTGTTCCAACTTTGCTGAGCAGGGAACACATCAAATTGCCTGTAATATCAAGCAAGATATCTTGATGCCAAACTTAGACAGAGGGGAATTTTCACTGCCAGAGGGAATCTGTTCTTCATCAATGTTTCAATATTCAAGGAAGCCGGGGACATTTTTCTGTGATTGAAGCAAATTGTCAGTTGCCAATACTATGATTTAATTCATTTCTTTTCTCCTCTTACTTGGATGAACTGCCATAGCATCTGCTGTGCCATGAAAGCCTAGAAGAAACATTATACTAAAGAGTAGAGAAAGGGAATGCAAGGGAGGGGTGAAGAGAAAGCGAGAAATGAGAGGATAAAAGAGATAGAGAATGAGACGGCTGGAGTGGGAGAAACGATGAGAACACATGGGGAAACTGAGAAACAGAAGAGCAGATGGAATGGGAAAACCAAGAAGGATGGAAAAATGAGAAAGAATCAGAATAAAACCATGAAGGGGCTAGGAAAGTGGCTCAGTGGGTAAAGAGCTTGCTGGGCAGGAAAGAGATGCTGAGTTCAGATCCCCAGCGTCCATCCAAGTTAGCTGTGACACCTGTAATGTCAGCACAGGGAGGTGGAGAGGTGGACCCCAGGGCCTCACTAACCGCGTCAATCAAACCAAAACGGCTAGCTCCAGGTTCAGTGAGAGCCCATGTTCAAAATGTAAGGTAGAGAATGATGACAATACGCAGAATAAACCACTGCTCCACATGTGTATGTACAGACTAACACACTGCACACACAGGTTTGTAACACACACACACAAAACACAGAGAAAGACAGTACAAAAACCAAAGGCTAGTGTGATCTCAGGGATGGGTCTCCTCTCAAGTTTTAGGGAAGAGGTCCAAGACTAAAACTCCTTTCCCAAGGTCACTGAATTCATCCAAGGTCATTGACCAGGCCTGCCAATCAACTTCCTTCCCTGTTTAGCATGTAAAGAACAAGATGCAGCCAAGGAATGAAGGCAGAAAGACAGAGCTTGCTGTGTGTACACATGCATAGGGTGCTGGCTTTCTTCAAATGTTTGTGCTGAGTACTAAATGTTAGCAGTATTTCCTAAGATGAGGTGCTCTGCTGGCACAAAGAAATCCAATCAAACCAGATAAGCCAAATTAAAATGCCCATATTTAATAAATGTTGCACTCTTCAGTGGCCTGGAGAGCATGGAAGAGAGGGGTGGGAATCCACACAAACCCAAAAACCACGTGTTCTTGTTTCTGAATAGGCAAGCCTAAAAAGCCTGGGGAAGTGGTCCTGGCCCTCCCCCGGGGAGGGGTCACCACTTGGCAGGCTGGGAGTTGGAGTCCAAGCCAGGGCAACTGCCAGACCAGGGGCTTCCAATCATCCCAGACTTCTTAGATATAGGGGTGCTAGAGGGCTGGGGTGGTATCCCCCAGCCTAATATTACATTTTAGACTCTTTGTATATAGGAGTGTGAGTTTTATCTAAACACTAAAATCTAGCAATTTAATAGCTATCGTTTCTTCAGTCTTACACCCCCAGCGCTGCCTGTGAACAGTAGCTAAGACCTAGGAGATACTTATTCGCTTCCTCAACGGATTTCACATCGCAGAATCCGAGTCTGGAAGGGTTATCAGAATCTTATGTCAGTCTTCTCAGTGGACCTCTGAATTTACAGCTCCTGAGGCCTGGGTATTTCCAGGCTGGCACCTATCCTGATAGGAGCTATACCCTTGATGATGAGAAAAAACCAACTCTGGGACCCCAGTTCTCATTCTAGAAGGGCCAGTCACCTCCTCTAAGGTGAGTTTATGCATTAGGTACCAGCATTTCCAGAACTAGTTTGTTTTGACCATGGCCCAGAAAATGTATATAATGCTAAAATTAGAAAAAAACTGAGTAAAGAGTAAATACAACCTCTGTACTATTCCTACAACTTTTCCAAAATTTCTTTTCTTGTTTTTTTTTTTTTTTGCTTTTATTGAGCTATAAACCCTTCTCTTCCTTCCCCTTTCCTTCTACCCTCCCCCATGATCCCCATGCTCCCAAATTACTCAGGAGATCTTGCCTTTACTCCTTCCTATGTAGATCCATGTATGTCTCTTTTCAGGTTCACTTTGTTATCTAGATTCTCTGGGGTTGTAGATTTGTGGGCTGGTTTTTCTTTGCTTTATATCTAAAAGCCACTTATGAGTGAATACATATGTTATTTGTCTTTCTGGATCTGGCTTACTTCATTTGATATGTTCTTTTTTTTAGACCTATCCATTTGCCTGCAAATTTTAAGATGCCTTTTTTTTAAGTACCTTTGTGTAGTACTCCATTGAGTAAATGTACCACATTTTCCTTAACCACTTTTCAGTTGAGGGCATCTAGGTTGTTTCCAAGATCTGGCTATGACAAACAATGCAGCTATAAACATAGTTGAGCACATGTCCTTGTGGTACAATTGAGCATCTTTGGATATATAACCAAAAGTAGTATTGCTGGACTTGAGGTAGATTGTTTCCTGATTTTCTGAGAAATCACCATACTGATTTCCAAAGTGACTGTACCAGCTTGCACTCCCACCAGCAATGGAGGAGTGTTCCCTTTACCCCACAAGCTCTATAGTGGGCCTGTGTCATCAGTGATTTTGATCTTGGACATTCTGACAGGTGTAAGGTGGAATCTCAGAGTTGTTTTGATTTATATTTCTCTGATGGCTAAGGATGTTGAACATTTCCTTAAGTGTCTTTCATTCATTTGAAATTCATCTGTTGAGAGATCTCTGTTTAGGTCTGTACCCCATTTTTATTGAATTATTTGTTCTTTAGATATCAAGTTTCTTGAGTTCTTTGCATATTTTGGAGATCAGTTCTCTGTCTGATATGAGGTTGGTAAGATATTTTCCCATTGTGTAGGCTGCTGTTTTGTCTTTTTGACTGTGTCCTCTGCTTTACAGAAGCTTTTCATTTTCAGGAGGTCCTATTTATTAGTTGTTGCTCTCAATGTCTGGTGCTACTGGGGTTATATTTAGGAAGTGGTCTCCTGTGCCAATGTGTAAAAGTCACTTCCCACATTCTCTTCTATGAGGCTCAGTGTGGTTGATTTTATGTTGAGGTTTTTGATCCATTTGGACTTGAGTTTTGAGCATGGAGATAGATATGGATCTATTTGCATTTCTCAACTTGTTGATATCTAGTTGTGCTTGCACTATTTGTTGAATATACTTTTTCCCCATTTTATATTTTTATCTTCTTTGTCAAAAATCAGGTGTTTGTAGGTATGTAGATTGATAGCCAGATCAATTCTATTCGATTCCATTGGTCCTCCTGTCTGTTCTTATGTGAATACAAGGCTGTTTTCATTACTGTAGCTTTGTAGTAGAGTTTGAAGTCAGGGATGGTAATGCCTCCAGAAGTTTCTTCATTGTACAGTAGACCACTCCTTAAGGATAAACCCAGGGAGACTCGGGGCCATCTGGACAGGGAAATTTAGGAGTTGGCTATGGGAACATCATCTGGAAGTGGATGTAAACTTCTAGCTCCAGGAGACATGTCGCCCTCTGAGAAGCGGTATGAAAGGAAAGTAGTCAGCATAGGGGGTTATGTCTAAAATCTGTATCAGGAGTGTCACCTGCCAAGACCTGAGAGAACTGTTTCTACGTCACTACTTAACTACTGCCTAATTTAGACTCAATGGCACCGTGATCAAGATGGAAACAGCAAATCCATTATGGTTATACAACTACTCTTAAGTAATTTATATAAAATATCAATGACCATACTTGCCATAGTTTGTGGAAGGAAGATTTACTATTCTCTGTCCCATATACTGAAGGATTCTTGGGCTATAACTTATTGACCATGAACTATTGATAGGCCTAACAAAGTACCTGGCATATACTTTATAATGAATGAACTAAGGTAAGAAGACTAAACTTCAACCTTCAATATAATTAAGTAATTATATTGATGTTCATCATCAAAAACAAAGAGTAGATATGTTTCTATTAATTCTCAGAGACTATTATGCCTGCAACCAAGCCTGGAGGAGTCAGGAAGGGATTCCTGGAAAATCCTGTCCCAGCCAGCTACATGGATACAGGCCCAGGCCAGCTGTCCTTACCACTGATGTCTCAGCAGAGAAGAGGGAGTGTGCAGAAGAAGTTGTAGGTGTTTTTTTCTCCACATGACAGCCAAATAAGGCTATCTCCATATCAAGGTAATCACACACACAAACAAACACACACACAAACCAGTTCAGTCTACGCTCAGGAGGGGAATCTGCCTCAAGCTAAAATCTACCCCAGATATCTGGTCAGACAAACACACACACACACACACACACACACACACACACACACACGCACACCTGGGACCACAGATATCAGAATCACTGTTAGTTCACCCAGGCGTAACTTCATTTACACATGGAGAAGCCAAGTTCCAGGTAAAGGAAACAGAAAACAGTTTACCCAAGGTCTTACACCCGGTAGTGGCTGGTCCTGGATCTTCAGTTCAGTCTTTTGAGTTCCTATGGGCTCTGTTCCCACATCCTGATGGCACCCCCACTCCCCTGACATCCTGGTGGCACCCCACTCCCCTGACATCCTGATGGCACCCCACTCCCCTGACATCCTGATGGCACCCCACTCCCCTGACATCCTGATGGCACCCCCACTCCCACCCTCAGTGCAAGCATTCTAGCTGTCTTTCACACACAGTCACTCAGATATATGGGCTTTAGATGGAGAAGTCTGTAGAACATTTCACCAGTGTTGATTCAGTCTCGGGGAGATCATGGTACCTCGGAGTAAAGCAGACGTATTGGCTGACTCTGTATCCAGGTAAACAGACACTGCACTCAGGGTGAGAAGGAAGATCCTCCATGCTTCTGACCCTGCCAGACATCCCTGCCCTGTCAGAGAGTTTTGGCACACGCCTCTCATCGCCAAACACAGGGGTCAGTGGCCTCCCATCCCCACATCAACTCCCTGAACTCCTATTGATGCCTCAAGTAGAAGTGTTTGTGTGTGAGACTGCCTGCTTTGTCTACTAGGTTGAAAGCTCTTCAAAGACAGGAACTGTATCTCACCCATCCCTGGAGTCCTGGGCCTGCGTCTGGCACACAGAGGGGTATTATTCACTGATGGTTAAGCTGTGATATCCTACACAGAGCCAGGAAAGCATAGCAAAGAGGTGAGGAGATGATATGGCCTGGAACCAGGTGATCCTGAGTTCAGATTCTGACTCACACACTTTAATTGCTATGTGACCATGAAAAGTGTTACTTAATCTCTCTGAGGCTTAACTTCCTCATGTGAGACGCTGTCATAGTGAGATGAGACAATGCTGTTGGAGCCCTTGGTAGAGCACGCACAACTCAGTAAACACTCAGTAAATGTCACGAAAGGACAAAATTGGACTGCCAGTGTGATGGGGTTGATCCTTCGATAAGCTGGTTTGTTCGCAGTTATCTAAGCTTAGGGACAGGGAAGGCCTAAGAAGAGCGCAGATGAGGTAAATCCACTAATGGGACCAGGAAAAACAAAACAGTAAATCAGCAGCGCACCCCTCACTCACCTCTTCAAAGAAATAACCCCTGCGGTGTCACCAGAAGCCTCTCCCAGCCTTCTTTTGATTGACAGAGCCCCAGACGCTTTCCAGGAAGTCCATGGTGCATTGTTTTTCCGAGAATGCCCCTGGGTTTCGTGCTGGCTGGTGATGAGAGACCCTAGGGAGCTGGCAAAGCAGGCCAGGCTGTTCCAGGAAGTCATAGAGCAGTACCTGTGACTGAAGCTAGCCGAGGCCCAGCAGCCTAAGAATGCTGGGAAAGAAGAAGAGACCGGAAGACGGAGGGACTGTGGTGGGGGAGGGGGGCAGCAAAAGACGGAGGCTTTCCTCAGTGAGGAGAACGCTGTGCCATCCCTCAGACTGAGCAGGCTGAGAGAGAACACAACTCAGAAAGAGGGGCCTGTAAGGAGGCAAAAGGGGAAGATTATAGCCACTCAAAGCTGGATGAGCTTGCTTCCAACTGTTCTGAAAATGAGAAACAGAAGAACTAGAAAGACGGATGGTAAATCAAATCTAGTGCAGGCTCCAGAACAATTCAGAAGTTTTTAAGAGAATAAAAGGTGAGTTGATTACATTTACTTACAAAGAAAGAATTTAACTAGATTGAACACATTATTCATACATACCTTTAATTCCACCACTCAAGAAGCTGTTGGATCATGAGTCAAGGCTAGCCTGGGCTACATAATGAGACCCTACCTTCAGAAGCCAAGGGCTGGCCATGGAACTTAGTGGTTGAGTACTTACTTGCCTGGTTTGTGAAAGGACCTGGAACCAATCCCACACACTCCAAAAAAGAGTAATATATATTTCTGAAGCACAAAGCCAAAAGGTTATTATGTATAATTATGTACAGACCTTCAGGTCTGCTTTGGGGAAAATTGTAATCTGATGTGTTGGAAAGTTGGCCTCCTCAATGCACCCGCAAGAAACTCACATAGTATTCGCTGATTTTCATGGTGGGAGCCTTCCTCCTGTTACCAATTTCAAGCTTCCAATATGACTATTAGAATTTGGAGGAGGGGGTACTTAGTAATTGGCTTTTATAAAACCAGTTGGAAGCCCTGTAGCACCTGATATTAACTGAGAGCTGAATGAACTTCTTGTTCTTGGCACATGTACTAGTGGAAGACGACATCTTAGGGTCAGAAAAACACAGACGTAAATCCTGTTCCTCATTGAATTTAGTAAGTTACGAAGTAAAATAGGTTCATAACTGCTGTCCCATAGAGTTGTCTGGACAAGAAGAATGCAGTGTCTGAAGCACTCAGCAGATTGTTTAAATTGCAGAGTCATTTACACAAGCACACAAACTGTAACTATGTCCCAGAGTCATTAGGTACACGCTCAGGTACCCACCACTGAAATCAAAACAAACGGGGTTTCCAACAACTGCAGAAAGTTACCCATCATGGCTGTGAAGTTTTGGGCAGTCCTTGCATGGAGTGGTGGGGCCCATGGTCTCTGTCCATGAATCTCAGCAGACTGTCTTGACCAACACAGCACAACCAGAGTGCTGCCCAGCCTTGGCTAGCTGAGTCTCTGCAACACACCCAGTAAGTCAGTCAGCCTCCCCACTGAGATCACCCTATTGGGAGGCTATATGTAGGCCCTGCAGTCCAGAGCTCCAGCAGAGACTACCAAAAGGTCAGACCTGAGGAAAGCCATCTTGGACCCCCAGGACCAGACTCTCCATCAGCCCCATGTGGAAAATGAACAGTCAATCAAGTCTTGCCTGAATCTTTGGCTCACAAAAACTGAGGGACAGAATGAGGTAGATTTTGTTTCTGGCATTGAGTTTGGAGATAATTTATCACAAGCATAGCTAACTGGGACAATTCCTATGTGTGCCTTTCCCATCAACAATGTGTCCTGTCTTCTGAGACAACCACAGTTCCATTGTTTATCACTAAAGACTCTCTGTGTCTGCTTTCAAGCCATCACCCAACAGCATCCAGCAAGAGCTCCTCGGACATGGGCTTTTAATTCGGATACTGCTGGAGTTGATTGTTTAAATGGATTTTATTGATAAGTAATCCTCCCTGTTATTAGTATGCTAACACCTATTTATCTGATTTCCTATTGATAGACATCTGAATTGTGTCCAGTTTGAGATTGCTGCTCGTGCACTGGCCTACCTGTATGTTCCTTAGACACATATTTTCATGTCTCTTGGAAATATGCATAGAAATAAGATGATTGCATTTGGGGACAATACTTTTACCTGTATTAGAAAATGTCAAGCAGATGTCTAAACTGACTACACACTCTCTTCCCCCACCTGCAGTATTTTATTGTGTCACATTCTTATAAAACTCCACAGCATCATTCATTCGCATTTTGCCCATTCTAAAGCATGGATGACAATGTCCCTAGCAGCTTAATTTTAATTTCCATGAGGATTTGTAATGTTGAACATCTTCTTGGCCACTCAGATATCTTTGGGGACCTCTGGTTCAGTCTTTGACACTTCTTTCTAAATGCAGTTGTCCATAATGACTAAGCATAGAGTTCTTCACATATATTGAATTCTAGTCCTGGAGCAGATGTTTTCTTCCACACCACAACTGGCCTTTCTGCTTCTCAACTGTGTCTTATGTTGAACATGAACTTAATTTTTATGAATTCTAGGCAGATTTTTTCACTGTAGTCAGAAACTCTTTAGCCTGTGAACTTTCTGTCTATACTAAGGTTAACAAGGGGTCCACTAACATTTTTACTACAGGTTTCACTGTCCTAACGTCCACATTTAAGCTTGCAACCCATTTGGTTTCAGTTTGCACAGGTAGTGTGCGGGAAGGGTCCTTTCTATGACTCCCACATAAACACCCAGCTTCTCCAGCTATTTCCCTACAGATACGCTGTAGATGCAGATACAGATTGCAAAACTGGTTTAGCCAACCGCATGCCTAGAGTTTCATCATCTGAGAAAAGCATCAGTGGCCACTGTAAACTTGTTCTTGACCTAGGGGACAACATATAAATATACTTGCCACCAAGACTTAATTCAGTCCCTAGAACCCACATGGTGGAAAATGAGAACTGACTCCTATCAGTTGTCCTTCCGCCTTCGCATGCATTGCTGGGCACACTTACACACACAGATAGGTGGATAGATAGACAGACAGACACACAGACAGACAGACAGACAGACAGACAGACAGAGCGAGCACATGTATACACAGAGATAGGTTGATAGATAGATAGATAGATAGATAGATAGATAGATAGATAGATAGATAGATTGAGCACATGTACACTCAGATAGATGGTAGGTAGAGATAGATGGATGGATAGATAGGTAGGTAGGTAGATAGATAGATAGATAGATAGATAGATAGATAGATCACATGTACACACACAGATAGGTGGGTAGATAGATAGAGATACATACACACATGAATGTTCTTTGAACGGTATAATAAATATCACAAACTACATTCCACCCACATATAACAAAGTAAACAAACTGTGCTCTCAGTTTATACCTTTGAGCCCTGGATAAACTAAACTGCACATGAGAAAATACCAAGCGTCAGAGACCCAGATTACATAGATTTATAACTCGACATCTGTCAGAGGGCCTTCTCTGCCCAGACTTAGGGTGTGTTAGGGGAGAAGAAAGAACAAGGGTAGAAGACATTCCCTGTCCTCCAGACCGTCACAGTGGGTACAAGTCTAATGGCCTGAGACCTCACTCACCTTGATCCTCTGGAATCCAGAGTGGAAACTATTCTCCCCTCTGGTAGTTGCAGAAAGACTCTGACATTCTAGTCCATTCTATGCCAATGACCTGCTGCAAAGAGGAAAATAAAATCACAGGACTACCGAATCTCGGGGTTGGGGGACCTTCCAGCTGAAGGCAGTGATCAGCACAATCACCTGGAGCTCTTGTCTGAAAATACCGATTTCCAGGCTGCAATCCAGAATCATCTTCTTTTTTGCTCCAAGATCAGGCCTGAAACCCTATATTTAAAAAAAAAAATAGTCCAGGTATTCTATGTCCAGCCAAGTTTAGAGACCTAACTTCTTGCACAAACTGGAGTGGGTGGGGTGGGAAGATGCCTAAAATTTTCTTAGAAATTGCTGGGATTACACAAAGCAACTAGCTAATCAGATGAAATGATTAAAACAATGTCAAATATTCTCCAAGAGAAACAACTAGCGTGGGGCACACAGGGAAGCAAATCATGAGGAGGAGGGAAAAGGGAAAGAAGCAGTTGGGTGCCAAAGACACATTTCATTCCTTTTCCATCTTCACCTGGATTCCTGCTTAGGACCCAAAACCAATTTATAGCAACTTAGTGACCGATTAAATCAAAGGTTCTGTTAGTCTATTTGAACTCTCACATGAAAATAATCAGAGCCAAAAATTGATCGAATGCCTAATTAGGCGAGCAGATATGGCAAACGCATAGAGGGAAATATTTTCAGAACAGTAGCAAGTTTCAAACTTTGACTGAGGCATAACGACCCAGCAAGCCTGCGGAGGGTCAGGGCACCTCTGAAACAGAAAAAAGAAGAAAATCCTACTGATGAGAGGCCAAAGAAAACTAGCTGGAAGATGGTTCATAGAACAAAGCAGAAAGACAAGGTGACTGGTTTTGTCTGCACTGAGAGTCTTCCCCCTTTTTTTTCCCCTGAGATTAGGATGGGTGAGCAGCAGCTGGCCACAGTACTGGAGAAGCTTGCTGAGAAAAGCAACATGGGGTGAAAGTTCACTGGGTCAAGACAGAGATCTGAAATCACAATGGCCCTTCCCCAAGTTTCAAAAGGCCATAACCTCACAGCATGGGTAGCAAATCCACTAACAACCAGAGTGGACCCAGGGTAAAGTACCTCTGTTCCTTGGGCCTCCGTTTCCAGTGATGACAAAATCCTCTAGTCGTGACTCCTGTGTCCCTTGAACACTGGATGGCAATTTTTTAGGGGCAAGGAAACCCGCTAGGGTCACCAAAATCTACTTCTCCCCCCTCAGAGCTGAGAACTTTCCCTCATATCCACGTGCACATTTCGGAGTGGGGGCTGGGATGGAATTCTCAAGTACACAGAGCTGGGTGGAGAGAGGGAGGAAGACAGAGCCTCCACAGATTCCCTGCTCAGTGGCACCTCCCTCTGTGTCCAAGTCACAGGGCTTTAGAAGTATTGTTGGGATCCCTGTCAATCAATCCTACCAACCCCACCCTCTATTATCATTTCCTCAACTGGGCAGGGGAAATATAGAGACTGTTCAAATCCTTTCCATAGGGAGAAGTTGAGAAAGGCTAAGGAAACCCCTATCTACCTTGTCTAGGAAGCAAACAGGAAAAAAAGGTTCATTTTGTCCTCCATCCAGAAATTCTCAGGTCAATTCTAGAATAGCAGACTCACACCTAAGAAAAACTAGAGTTTCTGAGAATGATCTCTAATCCTGTTCTCTTGGGATTTATGATGAAGGCACTGAACTTTGAAGGAAAAATTCATGGCATCAGCATTCTCTCTCTCTCCCTCTCACATCTATACATCAGCAATGATACCACGCCCTGTCACAACAAAGTACAAGGAACTTCTTCTGCTAGAGACTTGCAAAGGCGTTGAACATGTTCTGTCCCTTTGAATGTTTTGCCTGACTCACCATGGCTTCACAGTCAAGAGGAAATACGTCTCAGAGACCACCATTAGGGACTAGGAAACCCCAGCCACCTCAGAGCCTTAGCTGACATGCTCAACTGAAATCTCTGTGAATGGCAAGGCCTCCTGAGTTTCCCTTCCCATAGAAAGCAGAACACACTCCATCTTTAAAGGCTGGGGTCAAAGTTCAAACAAACCGTGACTGTTACGTATGGATGCATAACCCAGCATATCTGATGAAACACTCTCTAGACGCACGATCATCCTCCCGTTCTTCATAAGGGTCAAGCCGCTGCCGCACGTTGGCAGGATACAGGGAAGGGCAACTCCCTACTCTGACCTTCAGAGACTTCCGTTGACAGTTGTTCAATTGGACACAAAGGGCTTTGAGGTCCTATCTATCCCTCCTCCCACCCCTGGCACAATGCAGGCAAACACATGCTAGCTGGGTGGATTTTCAAGTTCAAGAGGATAAACAAATTCATTACACATATCAGTGAAAGAGAATTTCAGGAGACATTGCAGCCCAGTAGAATTTACCCTGCCCAAAACAGATATGAAGGCAGCCAAACCAAGCAAAGGTTTCTAGTTGAGTTAACTTGCTCTCAAGGATAGAGTCCGAATGTTTTTTCCATGCTTCTAATTTGAACTTTCTGATTAATCATATAAGCCTACTTCCTCCTTTTGGGAGAGGGCAGAAGGGCCCCTCTTAAACAGAACAGCCCACCAAAATCCCTTCCATAAAAATAATTCATAGCCTGGAAAGATATGCAGAATTCGTCTGGCTATATTGCCCATAACCTGCAAAATGTCTATTGACCTGATCTTAAACTTCCTTCTTTTTCCATATTTTGAGAGATAAGTCCCCTAACCCTCTTTTAGTACTCCCAGCTGTGTCCAGTGTGTTCTGGGGGTCTCAAAGCTTCAAACTCACTGATGCGGGTAATTAACCCTTCAGGTCCTGTATTCCATCCTGAGAGAGGTCTGGCTCCGAAAGCAACCCCACTATACTTATGGACAGGGGAAAATGCCACTGTGCATGTGAAACTTTGACCATTCTTACAGACAAGAACCCCAACAAGTGTGTCATTCCACAGACAGCCTCGCCACATAATAACAGAGAGAAAGAAGAGTGTGTGGGTGTGGGTGTGGGTGTGTGGTGTGGGTGTGATATGTATATGGTGTGTGTGGTGTGTGTGTATATGTGTGCGCACATGTGTATGCATGAATGTTTGTGGGGTGTACGTGTGTGTGTGGTGTATGTGTGTGTAGTGTGTATATGGTGTGTGTGTATGTATGTGCGCATGTGAGTATCCATGTGTGTTTGTGAGGGGGTTTATTGTGTGGTGTGTATATGGTGTGTGTGTGTGTGTGTGTTTAATTGTAGGGGTGAGCGGTGAGAGGGAAAAATTTTGTCATCCTTAACTTCCTGGAACTGTCAAGACACAGTTTGTCCTCATCTTAAGTAAATGAACTGCAAGCTGTAAATACATCAGTTTCTTGAAAAAGGAGGTATAAAAGGTACATTCCATTCCCAGATCAAATTAAGCAATTTACTCCAAGTGACCTGGCCTAACAGCATGGCTCACTTTACATTAAGCCAAGAGTTTATTGCATGGGAAAACTGTCTCTTCCAAACGCCCAGCTTCTGCTCTTGACCGTATTGATTCCCTCATTGATTTCATTCTTTCTACTGAGGGGATTTTCCTTTAGTCTGTCTGTCTGTCTGTCTGTTTGGCTGGCTGGCTGGCTTCTTCTGTCTTTCTCTCGTGTGGTGTGTGTGTGTGTGTGTGTGTGTGTGTGTGTGTGTGTGTGTGTTCCTGTATGTGGGAATATATGTGGGTTGGAATATGCATACATGCATTCGTGGCATGTATGCGGCATGCATGTGGAGGTCAGAAGACAACCTCAGGCACTGGTATTCAAAGGTCTTCCCTCTTTTCTTTGAGACAGGGTCTCTCATTGGCCTGTCTCTGCCACGTTGGCCAGGTTAGATGACCAGCAGCTTCTAGGAATTCTCCCATCTCTCCCTCACCAGGATTACAGGCCTGCACCCCCACATCCACCACACCCATCTCTTTTTATGTGGGTTTGGAGGATTTGAACTCAGGTTCTCACACTCATGAGACAAGTATTTTACCAACTGAGCATCTCCCCAGCTAAACTCATCTTTCTTTCTCTTATTTTTTTTTACATCAATCTATCCATTTTCTAACCCATGCAGGAGATCAGAGGCACTAGACAGCATGAGGAAAATTCTCTTGACCGGGAAGTATGCCAAGCCCAAGGAGCATCATAGGCCAGTTTCACAGAACAGAGATCACATGTGGCTGCAGCTGAATGGGCAGGCTGGCTTCGGTTGCCTTCCCTCTGGACTACACTGGAAGTGCAGGATCCCCCAGCCTCGTTAGAAGACAGTCTTGAGAGCAAGATGCTTTACAAGGATACTCTAGAGAGTGCACAGTGTGAACTCCCTTGATTGTTCTCATTTGGCTCCACTATTTTGACCTTAGAGTATATTCCAACCTGTTCTCAGTCCCCTGAACTTACCTGTCTTAGTTGCAAGCTTTGGTGCACAATTAACTGTGTGTATGAAGTCTGCCTGCCTTGAACCTGAGCTCTTTCTGTTGATGAACAACATGAAATGAAAAGCTTGGCCTTTATCTCTGTGTCTCCAGAGCTGGCCCTAGTGACCAGCACATAGCATGTACTTGATATAGCTTAGCAAATAAATGAAAGAAGAAATGGAGACTCAATATGGGCCTAGCACTAACTAGACAGGCTAAGGGAAGGAGAGGGAAATGAGACCTTTACAGGGAAGAAACAATGAGTATGAGCTACAGTGTGTTTGTGAGAGTACATGAGTGTGTGTGTGTGTATTATGAGTGTGAGAGAATTTGGGGAGTGTGTTATGAATGTGTGTATGTATTATAAGTGTGAGAGAATTTGGGGAGTGTGTTATGAATGTGTGTATGTATTATAAGTGTGAGAGAATTTGGGGAGTGTGTTATGAATGTGTGTGTGTGCGCGCGCACGCGCGTGCATACATGTAGGAGGGAGAGGTCAGACGGGTTCAGGAGGGAAGGTAAATTCAAGCAAAGCCGGGCTGCAGACAGACTTTGCCAGGTCAGCTGTTTCTATTCATTACACTCGGTTAATGCTATGGACTCCACTCCCTTTTGCCTGGATAAACAAACCCTAAGAGATTTTTCAAGCTTATGCCCTTGTTTTCTTAGCTCTTCTGAGTGTGCTGGCAGCCAAAGGCATTGGGCACACCCCTCTCTTTCAACACCCTCCAGGGGCCTTATTCAGTTGATCAGGCAAACAACTGATGTGCAGCAAATGAAAGTCTCCAGCGTGGTGGCAGCTGCTTGCGGACTTGCTAACCTGTGCAGGGAGCTAAACAGCATCATCCTGCAGGAATCCAGCTCCATCTTCCCCAGGGACCAGTTTGTTCTTCCCCAGACCATAAGTGCACCCTCTTTTCCATCTTCCATTGCTCTCACAGTCCTTTTTAAAAAGATTTATGATTTATGTATTTATTTGCATTGTGTGTATGTTCACGTATGCTCTATCTGTGTACATGTGCGAGGGTGTGCATGCAGGTATCTGCACAGAACAGAAGACAGTATCAGATGCCCTGGAACTGGGATTGCAAGTCATTGTGAGCCCCCAGGCACAGGTGCTTGGAACTGAATGCCAGCACTCTGAAAAACCAGCAAAAGCTGCCATTTCTCCAGAACCTCTTCACAGTCTTTGTCCCTGAATCCCACAACAATATCTTGCAGGTTTTGTCAACAGGGAGCCACAACATTTAAATTCTATCCGTGACAATGCATGTTAGGGGTAAGGGCACTTCAGTAAACTCCCAGGACCCCATCCTACTTTGCATAGGTGTGCATGCACGTGCCCGCATGTACACACACACGCACATGCATATATAGACATGCCATACAAGTCCCCTTTCACATGGGATATGAAGCTCTATGCCTCCAGGAAGCCCCTACAAACTGCCTGAGGCTTAACCTGTATGTTACAGGGACTGGCTTAAAAGAAACTACATTAGAACGTGAATAAGCCGAGGAGACGGGTGGAGGGAAAGGGACCTGTGCAAACTGGGAGAGAAGGCTTGTTTCAATTGTCTAGAATGACTGGAACATTCTAATAACACAAGCCTATTTTCTTTGAGTTTGACCCCATGTGCATATAAATCTTATATATTTGTTCAGCATTTACGGCCATTATTTATAATGGCCGGAGAGGGCAGCAGACGTGAAGTCGAAGCTGTTTAACATCAAAACTTTTAGAAGGTAGGGAGCCATACCCAAGCCACAGGCGTCTCCAGCGCCAACTGCATCTCAAAGACATCGTGGAAGTCTTTGTTAATGTCCACTTCAGATCTCATTGGATTTATGGGACACCCAGACTCTAGCACCCACAAACTGGCTGTTCACAGACACGGGGACTGAGGGGAAGCAGATGTG